ATATATATATATATATATATATATATATATGTATGTATGTATAAATATATAATAATTATTATTGTTAAATTTTCTATATAAACATAAATATTTTTTCATCAAATTAAGATCATGTTGTACTATATTTATTTTATCCATTGTTTTAAAAATAAAAATGAATCATTATTCAATGCAATGATTAATTATTATGGACGTCTGAATCAATTTCTATTAAAAGTAAAAAGCACATTCGATAGCATTAAATATATAAAATTTTTATAATTCATGTTGTAGGTGATTCCATAAAATGAAGCATCATTTTGTGATACGATTTTAAAACTATCATCCCTTTCCAGTTACCTTCCAAGAAGAAAAGTATGATAGTAGATAAAATCGTAAGTACATATTTATAAAGTCTTAAAATCTTAAACAGGCATTTTATGTACATAATATAAATAATTCGCTATAGTATTTACAAAATTAAAATAGTTCACAAGATTTCGCGTTAATACTAAACATTTATAAATCACAATTGTCATCAAATCGACAGTGTGTAAAATATTCTTCATACCACGATAATAAATTGTGCTCAATTGTGTGAAAATTTCAATATAGAGGACTTTCGATTCATCTTCTTTTATTTTCTTTTCTTTAAATAGCTATTTAATTTAAGGAAATTCCTTGTATCCATGAACTAAGATCACTTGTATCTTCGCAACTAAGACTCAATGAATTCTTTTCATTTTTTCTTGATTCTAAAAGTGCTTGAGCAGCAGTTCGACCAGTTAGATATGCCCCATGTACTGTACTGTAAAAGGAAGAGTGTGTATGTTCACCAGCAAATGTTATTATAATTTTTGAAGGATCATCTTCTTGCACTATAGGCTCAGATAAACATTTAATGTCTAATTGACTTGCACCAACAGCCATAGCAGTGTAGGAGCCACGTGTATATGGTTGTGAATGCCATGAAGTGCGTAAACAATTTTTTGGTGCTGGTACAAATGGATCATTAAGAAATTTCCTCAATATTGATGTACATATCTCTGCCACTTCTGCTCCACTTAATTTTTCCATATATTCAGCAGCTTTTCCTGATATCCAACCCAGCAAAAGAGTTTCTGAAATTTTTGTAAATGAATAGATCTTTCTGAACCATGTTTTACTGATATCTTGCTTTTCTTCTTCCGACAATCCTCGGTCATCCCATAAAAGCATTACTTCTGATACACCAGGATTTAAAAATGGTCTTTCATATTCTAAAAATATTTTATCTACAGTACCAAATAGAAGTCTATTTATAGCTTCAAATTTATAATTTGGTAAGGATGGTTCAAATATATCATTAGCTTTTTCCTTAAGTACTCCTAATGGCAATGTACAAATCACATGTTCAGCTAATATTGTTTTCCCATTTTCACACTGTATTTCAATAGATGGGTTTGTATTAGAGCAGTTATTAAAATTTTCATTGTCCATACATTTCTTTTTTTGCCACCTATAATTAATATATTTGTGTGAAAATGCACAACACAAATTTAATATTGATAAGAACCAATTTCAAGCTCTGTTTACCTAATTTTAGTGACAACATGTTTAGTCAAAATGCTGCTTTTTGGTATATGCTTTGAAACTGGTTCTAATATAGCACTATATCCATCTGGAAGACTAATATTTCCACCTTGAAGTTCTGCATACGAACCCATTTCCAACAAATCAACATTTTCCATACTATCACAGCCAGTAATACAGGTTTCTCTTTTAAGTAAGCAATCAAATAACAATTGCCTAATTTTTCTTTCTTCAGGTAGTAAGGTGGATAAATATATTTCAGCTTCTAATGCCACGTGTGCTCCAACACTATTTATTCCATCTGGGGGACTATAAGTACTTAAAAAATATTCCTCACATCTTCTTAAAAAACATACATAAGCTTCATAAATTTCTTGCAAAATTGGGAAAGGTAATTGTTTTCCATCTTCCATAGCAGCTACAACTTTATGAGGCCTTGGTACACGTATAATATCTATTAATCCATTTGCCATAGCTAATTCAAACATTGGGTTCCCTAGGACTCCATGGATCCAATTTGCTCCTAATTCTACCTTTTCATTGCCTGTATTAAAGTGGATGTGAATTTAAAATTCAAAATTGTTTAAGTATAATTATTCCCAATAATTAAAATTGAAGAAATTATATTTATTATTTAATATAATTTTATATTTGATTTTCCATAATAAAATTAAAATTTTATTTTATATCTAAAATCTGTTTGAACATTTATTAAAAAATAATTTAAATAAAATAAAAATGAAATGGTAAAATCTTTAATTAAATCTATACTTTTATGTTCTCATACTTTTGTCATTATAATAATAATTGAATATTGCAAATACAAATAAAAAATCAACACTTCTATATTTATATGTTATAATGTATTTAAAAAAATAGATTCGTTAAAATTAAAAATTAAAATGAAGAATCGAACTTTTATTGATTAATAAAATTCTGAAATAGGTTAAGTAAAAACTCACCGATTTTGGTAGCAACTATACGACCACCTATTCGACCTCGTGCTTCGACAATCAAGAAATCGGTTTCGTGATTTTTTAATAAATGATTTGCAGCTGATAGTCCAGCCATTCCAGCTCCAACAATTAAAATTTTACACTTAACTTTATCATTTTCCGTCTTCTTCGTAGATTCCGCCATGATCATATCATATTAATTGTCAATAGCAAAACTGGCATAGTTTATTAATTTTTATGTAGAAAAAAACGATTAAAATCGTTTTTCTCATTCAATTTCTCATCGTATTTACTAATATTATCATTCGAAACATTCTACAAAGTTGTTTGACGTTTTCATTTTTAACGCACATTAGAGAATATGATAACAAAATGGTATTATAGTTATTTTTGTTTTTTTACTATTTCATTCTTTACGCGCTACAATTTAAGAAATATACATACAATTTATGAAATATATATATACAATATATATTACATAAAAATAAAAATATATATTATATATATTTCAAATGTATTTCTTTCGAACATGATCAAAAATAAAAACAAAAATAATTATCCACACAATTTTTTTATTTATTTACACATTTTTCTATCGAATTACAAATTTTAGCTAATTTGTATTAACGAATTAAATGTTTTATAATGTTAAAATATAATGTATACAATTTCTTACAGTCAAGTAAATTTATTATAATTGTCTTGATTCTATGGTTTATTATATTAAACATTTTTTAGAAAAATCTTGCAATGCAAGCAATAAAAAATAAAATTCTATAATTATATATATTAATAAAATATGTGGATTTTTTCTTTCCAATTTTTTTAATAACAAATATAAACATTTATATATTCATTATCATATTGATTACAACAATAGAGAAAGTTAGCATTTTTCACTGTCTTGCTTATTGAAACTGAACATACTTATCATAAATTTTTGGTATTTCAATAAAATTTAGATATAAGTACCTACCACTCATCTGGCAAAGCATCAAATATGCATAAAATGCTATCTAATTTATTAAAATGTTATAAAATAGCGCAAAAAAATTAAACTATTAAAATGTTGTATTTTAAAAGTTTTTTATCCATAATTAATAATTATTTCGAAAAAGAAAATTTATAGAATTATAATAAAATAGTACTTAACTTTTATACATATTTACAGATCATTATCAGCAATTATTATTATAAATATTCATGATAAATATTTTTATATTTAAATTTTTCTTATTATCAATAGAGACAAAATATCATAGATTTCATTTTTTTTTGTTAAAATCAAATTTAAAATATAAAAATTTCAATTAATAAAAAATTACAAAATTTAACAAGATACATATGAATATAAGTATGAAATCAAATTTATAAAGTAAAATTCTATAAGTAGTTTTAGAAAATCAATATATCAATATATAATTTTAAATAAATAATATTAAATTAAATTATAAATTTCCTTGTGTTATGATTATAGTACTTACTTATATAATAATTATTTTAAATTAGCTTTAAACCTTAAGTCCTTAATCAATATTTAAAGTACAATAATTTGTATTTATTAATATATTACTATTAATATTAATATTAAAAATATTTAACGTACATGATATAAAAAACGAATTAATTTGAAATATTTAAAAATATTTTATCAAAGAATTTTTATAATATAAAATTTTGTTTTTTATTATAATGCAGAAAGATAAATAAATAAAAATATTTCAGTTTATCACATTAATATTTTTAATATTTTTTTGACAAAAAAAGTATTATTAACTATCATTATACACATATTACATGAATAACAACAAAAACAAATATATTTACATAATAACAAATAATAGTATTTGATTTTGATTTTAGTTGCAAAGAATTTTCCATTATCATTTTTTTTTTTATAAAATTTATATGATATACAAAAAATGTAATAATAATAATTTTTTTTAAAACAGATTCGAATTCCAGAACCCTAAGGAGTAAAGCTAATGTAATTTAAAACAAATTCTATTTCTAGTTTTAAATTTTACAATTTTTGTTTTTTATCGTTCGTTATAATTATGTTCGAACATAATGCAATATATTTTCATAACATAAGCGTTGTTCTTGTATTTCATTATTTATATAGGTGATTAGTACTCGGATAAAAAATATTTTTTCTTTAAAAGTTCTATTTATCAGTGATTCCACGAGTCTTTAATTGTACATTTCGGGTGTGTACAAACATCGCGACCTTTATATTTCTATAATGTTATTTTAATAAAATCGTAACAAGAATGAACAGAACAAGATTTCAATCGTCGAGTATGTAAAAAATTAATTCAAGCACAGTATGTGTGTCTTGACTGCTTTGTGCTGCTTTATGCAGGACTTGAATTAATTCGTTGTCCAAACTGTTCATGTAGATTGGAGGCAATTTCATACCTTCACTACCAGCTTCATAACCCACCTAATATTATTATAATTTAATTATATTTTTTTTGTTACATTCAGAATTATTTTAAATTCTTAAAGATTATATAATAAAGTAATAAAGTAATAAAGTTTTAAAAATGATTAAATTAGTTTTTTTAAAACTATTAAATTACTATAATATACTTACATTATCGGGATGAATAGTTGTTCTTACACCAAGTTTTGTTAAACCAGCATTGGCTAATAGATCCAATAGTTTCACTAAAGCTGTACACGTTGCTTTTGCTATATTTCCTGATAATTTATTTATATCGACTGGATCATAAACGCCATTCGGATGATCATCAGACTTCAAAAAAAAAGTTTAATTATATATTATAAATAATATAAGCAATTCACAATTCAAAATATATTCTAAACATACATTTTAAACATCTAAAAATATATTTTAAACATACATTAATAATAAATACTTCTGTCCACCGAATAAATCTACTTGTTCCCTTATAATCAATACCATTATGTACTCTAATTGAAGGAATACCATCCATCGGTTGTCCGTCTATAGGACTTTTAACTCTACAAAACAGATAATCAACTTAAATAAATAGCTATAAATATTAATTATAAAACGCTTACCCTAAATTAAATTGCACGTCATTATCGACCCATTTTATATTCACTGTTTCATCAGGTTCAGGTGCTCCTTGTCGACCACATCCAATAGAAAAATCTTGCATATTTTTTAAAGCCGCCTTTAAAGCTTCCATTTTTTCTGGCATTATTTCTACCATCAATCCATCTTCAACTATACTAGATTTCGCAGAGAGACCCATTGATGATTTCAATGCTCCATTAATAACAATAAAGCTGGTGCCTGTTACTATATTGATTAAAAGAATTTTTTTTAAACATTCAAAAAAATAATATGTAAATTTTTAAATCAAATACGTACTTGTCCTTGGATTATTATTGATACTTATTGCTTGTGTTTGATAACTACTTTCATCACCAGTGTTAGTTTGTATACAAACTAAATGTGAGTCGGCATCAATGCTAAAATTTGAAGCATATGCTAATACATGATCATTTGAATTATTTAAACCTTTAATCACTTGATCATATCGATTTCTTGGAAACATTACATCCGTCATTCTATTTTTTAAGTGAATTATTAGTCCTCTTACACCTGGTAATGTGTATGCAAAATTTCTAAAATCTGCTAAAACTTTCATAACAGTATGTCCTATCTCGAAATATAACGCGTCTCGAAACCGAACTGAGAATAATGGACAAGGATAATAACGATATTCTGCTCCAAGTCGTAAAATAAGACGTAACGGAAATACTTTCGCCCATGGTGTTTCCCATCTATAGAAATTGAACAAATTGAAAGTAATAAATATTTAATGGTTATTTTATATTATAAAAAACTTAAAAAAAAAAACAAACCTGTGAACTAGAAGACCAATTAGAAATGGAGCAGGAGGTAATATAATTTTTTGTAAGCATTGCAATGTTTGTCGAATAAACAGAAATCCTGCATGTTCTCGAGAATCCAAAAAATTTCCTCCTTGGTATATTGAAAATCCCAATTCGGACACAGTATTCCTATATAAAAAACCAATGATAAAACAATATAAATTAATTAGAGCAAATTATAAGTAATACCTTTCATAGCTTCGAGATGTAACTGGTTAATGAAAAGAAGTAGATCTTTAGGAACTCGGGTTTCATCAGGCAGTACTTCAATCAATAATATAACTTCGTCTTGTCCGACACAATCCAATCCTTTTGATGTTACATTCCAACACGTTTTATTAACACAACAATTTACTAAAAATAATTTTCTTAAATTAGAGAAAGAGAGAGAGAGAGGACAGACAGAAAGAAAGTTAGAAGATATACTTACAAGTCAATATTTTGACATAAGCATAGAGATTTCTATTAATAGCAAACATAACAGGTGGTTCACATTCATTTTTCAATGTTTTGTAGAGAAGATTCTCATTCGTTACAGCATGGTATGACACCTCTGTTTTGTAAATTGAATATCTATATTATATAATACTAACAAAAAGCTTTATTTTATAAATTCAAAAATATACATACGTCCTTTATGTATTGTTACAGTTGGCGGAAGGGCATTAGGATCTTGTGGCACATAGCTTTCAGTATTTGGATCCAAACGTGGTAGATTTTGTTTTTTGACAGAAGTACTTGGCATAGATGAACCAGGTGTAGGTATCCTTTTGCTTCCAGATTTCCGGTATGGTGGTTTCATATCCCACGACATGTCTAGTTCTGTCAGGTCACAGCCAGGCCTTATTCCTGTGTTTTAGTTAGAGGTGCATAAAACCAAAACAAATAGGAAGGAAAAGGTTCAGTGAAAAGGTGAAATATTTGAAGGAGATAAAAGATAAAAAATAATAATAACTTGGATAGAGGAGGAAGTATAATTTTAACTCAAAGAACTAAAAATACTATAACAAGGTGTGTTAAGAGTAAAGTGTGTAGAGTTATTGTATAAAGTTATTAATATTATAATACATTAATCACTAAGTATTAAATGTTATGAAATTATTATAATATGAAATACAGTTTTAATATTTATGCATAAATAATTTTTATAATAAATTAAATCATTATATTTTAAAATATTTAAAAAATTGAAGTATTTAATTTTACAATAAAAATAAACTCTTTAATCAAGCATTTTTTTAAATTGAATAAATATAAATAATATATATATATATATATATATTATTTTACTACATCAACTAAACAATAACAGTTATTTATCCTTTTGCTTCCAGATTTCCGGTATGGTGGTTTCATATCCCACGACATGTCTAGTTCTGTCAGGTCACAGCCAGGCCTTATTCCTGTGTTTTAGTTAGAGGTGCATAAAACCAAAACAAATAGGAAGGAAAAGGTTCAGTGAAAAGGTGAAATATTTGAAGGAGATAAAAGATAAAAAATAATAATAACTTGGATAGAGGAGGAAGTATAATTTTAACTCAAAGAACTAAAAATACTATAACAAGGTGTGTTAAGAGTAAAGTGTGTAGAGTTATTGTATAAAGTTATTAATATTATAATACATTAATCACTAAGTATTAAATGTTATGAAATTATTATAATATGAAATACAGTTTTAATATTTATGCATAAATAATTTTTATAATAAATTAAATCATTATATTTTAAAATATTTAAAAATTGAAGTATTTAATTTTACAATAAAAATAAACTACTTTAATCAAGCATTTTTTTAAATTTGAATAAATATAATAATATATATATATATATATATATAGTTTTTACTTACCATCACTAAACATAACAGATTTTGAAATTTCAGGCCGATTTTTTGTACCATCTTCCCTTTTAAGGACTCCAACTGGTACCATAACTGTAGGAGGTGGAGGTAATCCGCCAGCTAACTGTTGCAAGGGTGGTATAGTTGAACAGTACTCCATGGGATTATTTGGATTAGGCTGTCTCCCCTATAACCATTTGTCGAATACTCCTAACATTCACATTTATTTCTTTATCCAGTAAACACAGATCATGCACAGATCATAAAATAGAATATTATTGTTAATTATATTTTAATTACAATGCAATTATGCATTATTAAATTATTAAATAGCTTAAAATTATATTGAATAATTCAATAATTTTTAATTTATTAATTTCACAAACTAATTTTACTTTATTTTGAAAAAAAAATTTTAAAATTCAAATAAGATACACAAAAAATATTAGCAATAAAATCAATAAAATGATAAAGGATACATATTCAATAAAATTTTAATATAGAATTCTAAACAATGACTATTAATAAATTTATACAATTGAATTAATAAGATGATCATAGAAGAAATTTTCTGTGTTTATTGGATATTAATTACTATTAAGATATAAAACAAACTTTTCACAAAAGTTCAAACACTACAATTCAAATACATGCCTTATGTTTGCAATCATGTAAAAGAAAAATTGATAATATGTAAGAAACATAATGCAAACAGGTAAAATACATTACTGTAAATTTATTTTTTTAAAAAATAAATTATTGATTTAAAAACAAATTTTAATAAAAAAATATTTATTTTTATTTAATAATTAAAAAGCGCATTATAAAAGTATATATTTAATAAATTTATAGCTATAAATTTATATGTTAAATTATTACTCTCATGCAGATAAATTTATTTTAAATAATAACAAAAAAGAAGTATTCAACAAGTTGTTATAGGTGATTATAAAACTTATACTAATATTTAAGTTAATTCATATAAAGTAAAGATTTTTTTTAATTTAATTTGTTTTACATTTAATCAGAATCAATAAATTCAACAGAATTTAATATTCATAAATTAAAAGGAAAATAATGTTTAAAATATAACAATAAGAATTGATTAAATATAAGAGATTAATAAGTCTTACAAGTATCCATTGCAAATGTGTTGTTTTCGATAAAAATTAAGAAATTAATAAACAAAAATTTATTGAGTATTTGCATTCATAAAAATGTAGTAAAATTCACAATCAAAGATTTAGCAGTATAATATCTCATATTGCTAGTTTTATAAACAACTGAACCAAATTAATAAAACAAAAAATTATAAACAATTGAAAGTAATTATTCAATGCTACATTAGAATGAAACAAATATAGCAAGCTACTATTGATAATATACTTCATGTTGACAAAGAGAGCTTCAAAAGTGTTACTCTCAATTATTAATATATAAATAATATGAAGATTTAAATAAAAAAAATCAAATAGATCAAATAAATATATAATTAAAATAATAAAACATATCTAACATAAAGTATAAGTATAATATTTACATATTAATAATTAAATCAAAAATATAAACAAAACAAAAAGATAAATAAGTAAATTAAAAATATAAATAGATATATATGTGTATAAATTATACATAAATATAAAAAAATAAATTAGAAATATAAATAAATAAATTAAAAATCTAAATTACACAAATCTTGATAAATTTCACAAATTTTTAAATATTACATGGCAAGAGTAATACTTTAAGCACTCTCTTAATAGATTTACATTTTTTTATATAAAAAAAAATACATAACATTTTATAAAATTATTTTAATTTATATCCTGCATACCTGGGGTGAATTGATATCATTATTATTTACACATGTAGAATAACCAGAAGACCATTCTCCCATACCTCGTTCTGTTTCAGCTAAGTAAAAAATTAATTTTTTAATATTTCAAAATAATGTATAAAATTTTTTAATACTTCAAAATGATATTATGTTATAGAGAAATTACCTTTAGTAAGAAGTTGATAACATGAAACGCAAACACGCGAATCAATATTTCCTTGATATTCTAATTTATATTTCATATTACAACATTTATTACACAACACTTTTCCACATGCACGACAGTGATGTCGTCTTTTGAGTACAGTAAACTTAACATCACATAGCATACAACTAGGTGCATCACTATCAGGAACCCAAAACGGTGGTTGTTTTCCCAAAACAGGACCAGATTCTGGTACAGAATTTTCTACAATATCTGGTGAAGATCCTTGATCTTCCTTTGTACCATCAATATCTGATTGTACTTGATAGGATGGAGTATCACTTGTAGAATCAAGTGCTTGATGTTCATTACTATTATTTGTTAAAACAATATCCAATGTTTGTGGACGTATTGGTTTTTCTGATTCATTGTTAATATCACTTATATTTGGTTTTGTATAAACTTCCAAAGATGTAGATGTTTTATCAATTAATACATTTACCTCAGGTGTCACTTTTTCTTCAGAAATATTATCAAAATCATTTGATGTCTTCAATTCACATGCTTGGCTATACTGTGTAGAATTTCCTTTCTGCTCTTTTAATTGTATTTCGGTTTTATCATTACTTAATGATCCCTGATTAATATTTAAACTGTATATAGAATGTTCTTGATTATCCTTAATATTTTTTACAGGCACACATTCATTTTCTAATATTACCTTGTCATCTTTAATTACATTAGCTGTATGTAATAATTTTATTTCTTTATTATTTGGATTATTTAAAATATCTTTGTGTATATCTTTATTTAATTGATCATCATGTTGTACATTTTGTTTCTGTAATATATTATTTAATAATTCTTTATTTGTTTCCTCTTTCTTACAATCAGTTATTGAAATATTTTCTTTTTCATTGGATTCAGATTCTATCATGTTAAAAGATTTTATAGAAATATTTGTAGAAATTTCAACATTTTGCTTATTCTCATCTTTTTGAGAATCATTCTGTGTTCTAGTAATAATATTTTCATGTTTATTATAGCTTTCTCTTAATTTCTCCTCCTCTTCTAATTCAGCTAAATATTTGGTCAATTCTTCTTCTGATAAATCATCAATGTTACTAAATCCAATTGATTTATGTGCTAAATTTAAACTGTTCCCATGTTCATTAATTGTATCAATATTTTCCATGCTTAATTTTGTTTCACTATCTTGGTTAGTCACTAATTTGGTTGTAGATTCATTTTCATAATAATCATTTTGGATGTAAGTACATTCAGGCATAGAATTATTTTCATGATTCATCCTATCAGATTCCTCATTTTCAATTTCTACATTTTTACTTAATTCAGTGCAAGCTTTATTTATTATAACATCTTTAGAAAATTCTATTTCACTTTCTGATTCCAAATTTGTTAGATGGACATTTTTTACATCTTCTTTAATATTAGATTCATATGTGATAGGTAACTCTAAAGTTATAGGTATCATAACATCCTGATTTGAAATAGATGGTTCTGTAGTTGAATTAGTTATGTTAATTGTTCTTTAAGTGCTATGCTTTTATCATTATCTTTAGTATTAATTTGAATTAAATGAGGTATCTCATTGATGTGATAAATAGTTTTAGATTCTGAATCAGATTGTGTATCTGAATTATCTAATACAGAATTAATACAATCTGAACTTCCAGGGGGAGCATTAATATATTCATTCAGACTACTGAAAACATTACTAACACTAGGCTTCAAATTAAATTGGTTCAATTTCTTATCATATTCATTGTCAATCTTTAGACTGCTACTGCTATTTTGTTTTTGTATTATGCTTGTTTTTTGTGATATATCATTATATATTGCCAGAGAAACCTGTTCAGAATCATAAGATGGAACAGATTGTTTTTGTATCACATTATTATCATTTGTGCATTCTTGTGTATAAAACTGATTTACATCTGTATTTTTTATTGTTGATTCTTCTGTACTATAAGTGAGATTTTCAGAAATTGAATCTTCTTCACTAATACATTTACTTTTTGTATTAATTTGTTGTAAATCTTTATGTCTTTCTAAAGGTAATATAATATCAAATTCTTTATTGGTTTTTTTAGATTCTATAAGAAGATAATTATAAGTTTTTAAATTTGAAGGTTCTAAATTACATTTAACTGAAGAAGATGATGCATTATTTGTTGCAGGACTAACGGATGCTATTTGTTCTGCACAATCTGCAAGATATATCCATTTAATTAATATTACATATTAACAATTTAAAGAAAAAAAAACAAATAATTATGTTTTAAGTAAAATTATTTTTAAGGAAACTAATTTAAATTATTAAATTAAATAAATTAACTAATTTCTCACATTTAAAAATTTCAAACTTTTATCACATTTTTATAATAAATAATATAATTTTTATAAAAAAAATATTACAATTAAAGCTATTCTCAATAAAAAGAATTAGAAAATGATACAAAAAAACAAAATCACTAACTCTTTATAATTTTAAACATGGAAATATTTCTGTTTATTACACGAAATAAAATTAAATAATAGTTTTTACCTTCGTTAAATTCGAAATCATCCAAAACTTTATCCAAATCAATAGCAAATTTTTCCATTGCGTCGTTAATATTAGTTGCGCTAATTATGAGATCATTTAATAAACATTCCTATCCAATTTCTGATAATAGTAAATACGATTCCATTAATGGTATTTTTCCGAATGAAATGTACGACGTAATTTTAGAATTTACTAATAGTTAATCGTTGCAAAAAGTATTTAAATATAATATGTCAAATAATAGTAGGTTGACACGTTACTTATGGCATTCCTAATCATTCAAAAAAATTCTTACAGTGAATAAGTTATTCCGCGTAATAGGAAAATCACTTTGCATTAGATGTCTTCAATTAATACATATATTTTTACCAATCGGTTTTCCTTTATTATCCATGATATGTAGTCATGACATTAGTGAAAAAGAAGATAATCAGAATATTTTAAATTACACTCGATAGAATGAAACAGAAAAATCAAAAAAGTAACCATAAATTTTTGATCATCACGTGGATTATCTGACAGTGGAATAAGTACTCGTACATACTTGCATACTACTTGCTTATAGAACTGTCATTCTCTGTAAGCACAAAGACAAATGTTTTTCTATCGATAAATCGAAATTCATTCTTCTATCTTCGATAATCGATTGTTTCAAAATTTATAGATAAAATTTTTATATATTACTAAGAAAAAAATTTCATGAAAAATTTTATAAATTAAATATTTTTTTAGTAATTTTTATTTTGTTTAGAAGGATATATTAATATAACTTATATTTTTGTAATTATTGTAATTTATTATATTTCAAATTAAAAATTATAATAAAATATCTAATTCACAAATTTTTTTCTCATAATTCAATAAAATTGAAAAATAATATATTTTATAATATAGATTCATATAATTTTTTTATATTAAATGATTTTAATTATGATTGGTTAATTGATTTACTAGACAAATCTGTGAAATCATTAAGAGATTGTCATGAAACTATAATTTATGCTATTCACAGTTGCCTACCTTGTTTTATCATATGGAGATACTGTCTTCTATATATGTACTTATAATCAATTGACGATATACATACGTGTTTGAATTTAAGAAATACTTTCTATTTTCTTATATCAAAAAAATATATGATTAATTAAATATTTTTTTATGTAACAAAAACAAGCAATATGTTAACAACAAAAGTATTTTTTAGAAAAACTAAAGGAGGAAATGTATTTAAGGTACAGGAATAAAATTTTATGATTTACATTAAATATGATCAGATTTATTTTTAATGTTTATAATGAATTAAATGTAATAAAATAATACTAATATATTTATATAATATTTATTTTACATATTAGACAATTAGAGAACATTATCTTAGAAATGATATTCATTGTGGTTCTAAAGTTTGTGAAAAATGTGTGTGTAGAATTCGAAATGTAATTTTAGACGAAGATTCGAAGATAAAAAATTTTAAAATAATGGAATCTCATTATCTATTAATCGATACTAATATTATTTTAGATCAGGTAATGTATTTTGAAATGAAAGATTTTTTATATAATGTATTAAATTTAAAATTTGTCATTTTTTAATGTAACATATACAAATATAATTTTAGATTGATATTTTAGAAGAAGATGTTTTTTATAATGTCATAATTGTACAAACAGTATTAGAAGAAGTGAAACATAAAAGTTCTATTGTTTATAAAAGATTGAAAAATCTTATCAATAATGTACAAAGGAAATTTTATGTATTTGTTAATGAACATCATAAGTATGTTAATAATATATATATTTATAGATAAAATTTATATTATATATTTTATTATTATTTTTTTATTAATTTTATATAGAGAAACTTATATTGAACGTAATCCAGGTGAAAGCACAAGTGATAGAAATGATAGAGCTATTAGAATGGCAGCAAAATGGTATAATACACATTTAAATTTAGATCATATTAAAATTAAAACTGTATTATTAACAGATGATGCGCAAAACAGAGAATTAGCAAAAAATGAAGGAATCCCAACTATTTCAAGTAAAATTTTTTTTTGAAAAGAATTAAAATAAACTAAAATCACATTTATTTTAATTTAAATTACTATTATTTTTAGTGGAAGATTATATTTTATCATTAGAAAATTCAGGTTTTTTAAGTGATAAATTATGCAAAAAAAGTTATGGTATGATATCTGAAGGTCGAGAATTTTTCCCATGTCATCTTACACCATCAGAAATACATGATGGCATAAAATATGGAAAACTTTTGCAAGGAACATTTACAGCTTCAAAAGAAAATTTTCTTGAAGGATTTGTGAATGTAGATGGATTTGAAAAGACTGTAAGTATTTGTTTTCTATATTTTTAATACATATGTATTTATCATGTATATTTAATTGTAGATTTTTATCCAAGGTCGTAATAACCTTAATAGAGCTGTTGATGGTGATATAATTGCATTAGAAATTTTACCAGAAGATCAGTGGTCATCTCCTAGTGATATTGTTTTACAAGATGAAGAAGAAACAGATGATGATGCTTTAGAAACAAAGAAAGTATTAGATAAATTTATATCATCAAACAAAATGGAAAAATCACCTACTGGCAAGATTGTTGGTATTATTAGAAGAAATTGGAGACAATATTGTGGAATATTACAACCTAGTAATATAGAAGGGGTAAGAGCTTATAAATTGTCATAATTAGATCATATATAATATACATATATCTTCATAGATATTTATTTATATAATATATATATCTTCTGTTTTTTTAGAATGTACGACATTTATTTGTCCCAGCTGAACGAAAAATACCTAAAATAAGAATCGAAACTAGGCAATATGGAATGTTAAGTAAACAGAGAATCATTGTAGCTATAGATTCATGGCCACGTAATTCTCGATATCCTCTTGGTCATTTTGTACGTGCGTTAGGTGAAATAGGAGATAAAACTACTGAAAATGAAGTAATATTGTTAGAGCATGATATTCCCCATAGTCGATTTTCTGATGCTGTTCTTAGCTCATTGCCAAAAATGCCATGGTGTATTACAGATTCTGTATGTAATAATATGAGAGAAAATAATTTTTTCAAAAATCATGTAAAATGAATGCATTATTTTTAGGATTTAGTTCAAAGAGAAGATTTTAGACATTTAGATATATGTTCAGTTGATCCACCAGGATGTACAGATATTGATGATGCTCTTCATTGTAGATATTTATCAAATGGTAATTTAGAAGTAGGTGTACATATTGCAGATGTAACACATTTTATGAGACCAGGAACAGCTTTGGATAAAGAAGCAGCACTACGAAGTACAACTGTATATTTGGTTGATACACGAATTCATATGCTTCCTGGTAAAATTTACTTAAATTTAATTTTTATTAGATAAAATTTTGAAAATTTTATCAATTCATCAAAATATATTATTAACTTCAGATTTACTTAGTTCAAATCTTTGCTCTTTACGTGAAAAAGAAGAGAGATTAACATTTTCTTGTATATGGGAAATGGATGAAGATGCGAATATAATTAATACTAGATATTGTAAATCCATAATTTATTCACGAGCAGCGATGACTTATGATGAAGCTCAATTAAAAATTGATGATGTTTCTCAGCAAGATTCACTTTCAAAATCACTAAGAAATCTTAATAGCTTAGCTAAAAAATTAAAAAAAAGACGTCTGGAGAATGGGTAAAGTACTTTAAATTCTTTTATAAGAATATATCTAAAAATATATCTAAAAAAAAATAAAAAATTTATATTTTCTTTTTATTTTAGAGCACTAGTGTTAGCATCTCCAGAAATTCGTTTTCAAGTAGATTGTGAAACCCATGATCCTATTGATGTAGAAGCAAAAAAATTACGAGAAACTAACTCTATGGTAGAAGAATTTATGTTACTTGCAAATATTTCAGTTGCTACAAAAATTTTAGAAGAATTCCCAGAATGTGCTATATTAAGAAGGCATCCTGAACCTCCACCTTCTAATTTTGAACCTCTTATAAAGGCTGCAAAAAATCAGGTATAAAAAATGTGTTCAAAAAAATAATTTAAAGATATTGAATCATTTCTTTTAATAGGGCTTTATTATAAACGTTAATAGTGGTAAAGAATTAGCAGAATCATTAGATAACTGTCATAAGGAAAGCAATCCATATTTTAATACTATGTTAAGAATACTTACTACGCGTTGTATGATGCAAGCTATATATTTTATTAGTGGAATGCATCAACAAAGTGAATATTATCATTATGGTTTGGCGTGTCCTATTTATACTCATTTTACATCGCCTATTCGACGGTAAAAAATCTATATATATATTTGTGTTATATATATATTTATTTATATTTATTTAATTTCATAGATATGCAGATGTAATGGTTCATCGTTTATTAGCAGTTTGCATTGGGGCTGATGCAACATATCCTGATTTATTAGATAAGAAAAAAAATCAAACACTCTGTCATAATCTGAATTATCGTAGTAGAATGGCTCAATATGCTAGCCGAGCATCTGTAGCATTAAATACACATGTTTGTATCTAGTATATTAATATATTGAATTTTATTACCTGAATTTATTATTTATTTATATATATGTTTATTTTTTATTACATTTTTCTTTTCTTTTTTAGTTATTCTTTAGAGAGAAAATTCAAGATGAAGAAGGATATATACTCTTTGTGCGAAAAAATGCTCTGCAAGTATTAATTCCAAAATTTGGTTTGGAGGGTACTTTATATTTAAATAAAAACAAAGAATCTAATGTTATATTTACATATAATGGTGAAGATCATTCACAAACTTGTGGAAATATTATATTTCGCACTTTCGATCCAGTCATAGTACAAATAAGTTTAAATAGAGAAAATGTGCAGCATGAAAAATTGATATTTAAACTGGTTAAACCATTTGTAAGTAACTTATAATAACTTAAAAAAAATATATTAATTTTTTAAACATTTTAATATTTATAAAATTGTGAGAATAGATTCCAGGATTTAGTGTACCTGCAGCAACTTCAGAATGCAGCAATATCATATTGGAAGAAAGTACGACAGAAACGGTAAAACGAAAGATAGAAATAGAAAAAGGATCAGATACTAATGCTAAAACTAAAGGAATAAAAAGAAACTGAAAAAGAGGAAACATTAGCACTATTGTGCATCAGGTTTTACAGTTAATATATAAAAATTAAATATATTTATAATTTTTTTTAATTATATATATACACACACACACACACACATATATATATATATATATATTATATATATATATATTCTTTTTTATGACGAAAAATAGGAATAATAAAAAATATAATAAAATTTTTTGCTGGAAATAAAAAATTATTGAAAAACAAAAAATAATGTATATTACATTTTTAAAAAGTTATGTACCCATATATATCTATATACATCTATATGTAAGTATAAAAGTAGCTTAATAACTTTTTTATTATGATATTAAATTATATTATTTTCAAATTAAATATATAAACAAGTTTTATTCCTTTTTATTAAAATGCATATTATAAAAAGAAAATAATTTTTATTCTATCATAATACTTTTTGA